GTGTTATCCTAACTACCTTCCTAAATAACCACTATAGATTATAAACTTTATAAGAGGATATTAAATGTACACACAATTCACTGAAATTAGAATTATGATACATTTCTAAAAGAAATAAGACATGCAGACAGTGATTATTTCTGTCTTGGATGTTAATGATGGCATGCTTGTTCTATGCCCTGGAGAATGAGGAAGAGGAGTAAAAGGGAATGAGAGTGAAGATCTCTTCAAGCAAATGAAATATGCAGATAGCAAAACACAGTTCTCTGAGGTTTTTTTTTTTTTTTTCCAGTTTAGTGGGAGTATCAGGTGGAAGATGATAGCACAACAAATGAAAAGCAAAGAACTACATAAGGCATGTACAGCATGTGGAAAATCATACTAGAAGAGAGGGTTTCTATCACAGTAGAAAAGATTATTTCATATTTGCTCTAGATGTGAAAATCACAGCCCCAGTGGGTTATTTAGGTAGCACCCTAAATATGGTAAATGAAGGATGCAAATCTGTCTCTTGATACCAATGTGATACAGGATTTTGCACAGGGATGGGGAATAATACAGTAAGATAACGTTGTAAACAAACAATAGTTAAAAGGCAATTGCCAGGCTGGAGATGAAGTGGTTTTGAATTGTCACAGGTATTATTGGGACTGGAAAGGAAGACATTAAAATAAGAGAGCATGACTTAATAAAAATAGGTCGATTAACCTGTTGTTAGATACCAGTTTTAGTAAACTACAAGCAAAGGAAATAATTGTAAAAAATACACCAGGCTCAGTACTAAGCCATTCACTTATTGTTTCAGTAAGTTGCTACAACATTCCTGTGGATAATACTGGCATTTTTCTTATGATTATAGAAAACACTTTTAAGTTTAAGTAGATTAAACCTGTCAAGTCAACAATTAGTAAAGCCACATTTCAAATGTAATCTGTCTGACTCCATAGCTCCTTCCAAAATGACACTGTGCATCAGTACTAGGTAAATGACATGTGCCCTAGTCTATTTGTGTTGCTATAACAAAATGCCTATAGTGCAAAATTTATAAATAACAGAAATTTATTTTCTCACAGTGCTAGAAGCTGGGAAATGCAAGATCCAGGCATCAGCGGGTTTAGTCCTTGTTGAGGTCCTTGTTGAGGTTTAGTCCCTGCTTCTCAGGTGGTACAGTGAAGCTCCCTCCTTACAATGGAGGGTTTGATGGGTAGACTCTTTTGTTAGAGTCTTAAGCCCCTTCATAAAGAAGGAGTTATAATCACCCTTATCTGTCCTACCCTTAATGCTACCAAATGGGCCATTAAGTTTCAACATTTGAATTTCAGGACACATTCAAACCGTGATAACATGAGACCGTTAGTCACTGAAGCAAAGCATCAAGATGGTAATGGTGATAAAATCTGATGTAGTGTCTGCTGAAGTTCCCTGTTAATTCTTCTGAAATTAACCAATATGAATATAATGAAGAGACAAAAACTAAGCTTTTAATAGCATTTTAATTACAGTTGAAATATTGATTATGTCTCCATGAGTTAGGTCCTGTTTTAAAATGTTTTTATCCTTTTGTAATCCTTGTAATAAGCACACAAGGTCTATTCTTATTCCATTTATAGGTGATAAAATCAGTTCATAAAGAGATTAGTTAGGTGGTTCAAGCTAATATTGAGAGAAAGTCACAGTACCAAGATAAGTGAATTAGATTCTCTTATCTTATGGTATTTTGGAAATGTCATCCTTAACAGAAAATCTAAAACCCATTTTCTTCCTTTCAGATGTTGAAGAATCTGAGAATTAGTGAATCAGGAATTTTTAGTGACAGTTAAGAATAAATTCATTTTCTTCTGCTCTTGTAGAAAGGAAACCAGCTTATTTCAAGTCCTCAGCAATTGTTAGTGGAATTGATGCATGAGTGTAAGGTTGGTGTTGGTTATATACACTGAGAATTTAATATATAGCTTCGTATGTCTTACAACTCCAAGCAAATGCTATGTAAAAATTTGAAACTATTTTTTAATATATGAGAAAAAAAATAAAAGGAGGTACAAATAGACATAGTGAAGGGATAAACTCACAACACAGTATTTTAAGAGCACTCTTACATTTACACAAGGGAATTATATTTAATTTACATGAAATTAATTACACATATGAAGTGAATCTAGTGTAAAAAATATAATAAGAAAATAAACTGAGCCTACATGAAAATTTCAAAACTAAATAAGCGTATAGCATAAGCAACTTCACACATAAATTTAGATGCTCTGTGCTTCAATTTCTGCTTATCAAATATTTTTAATTTTAATCTTATAATAGCAATTACTTCTATCATAGAACTTTCTTCTATTGTGCTCGGAGAGCTAAACAGTGGCATTATGTGTTTTCCTAGCAACGGTATGATGCTATTTTATAATACTTCCTTCGAGAAGGCTTATGAGAATTATGAGGTAGACTTCAAAATTCATCAGCAATGCATTTTAGAAAATGCCATGCAATCATTCAAAAATAATTACAGCGTAATTGTCTCCTTATTCCAATTTCCATGAACTTTTTGAAGTTTCTGCATATATCCACAGTCACTGCATGAGATTTAGTTAAATCCTTTGGGGAAAAAATGTCAAGCCACATGCCATTTTATATTCTAATACAAGAAAAACCTTCAAAAGTTCATGGAAAATAGACATAGTCTTTTAACTCCAGTTTTTCCATGCACTTGTTAAGGCTGCTTCATATTCTTAGTTTTTTGAACTCAGTTCTCCTTCAGAATGAGGGAATTTGCAGTGCAGCAGTGCCCTTCTGGTTTGACTCAGTTACCTCATGAGAAACTAATCAGCCTCACTGGGGCAGCATCGTGCTTGCTCCTTAAGAATGCTGCCTGTTGATGATTTTCCGTCATTCCTTCCAGCTGAATTCCTGAGTCTCTCTTTGTTAATTCTGTTCATTTCTGCTCTGAGAAAAGTATGATATTGCAACGACCACACTCACTAGAGCCAGAAAATAGTGACAGTTTCATTAAATAAGAGCGGGTTTTTCATTTCTGAATATAAAGCAAATATAAAATTTCTATAGAACATGTTTTGGAAAAACCAGGTATCATATTTTAATAAAAGTATATCATTTTCTCACCCAATAAGTTTTCATTGCTGCTTTGAATTCTTATTTATTTATTTACAGTTCCCTGTGAGATATTTCCAGTGTCGGTTTTAATCTTATGTACTTGTTTCAATAATTTCTTTTATTCCCATCTCAAGTTTAATTCAAGAATCTATTACTTTAAATCCTTCCATGACCTCATCAAATATCCCCCCCATCATTTTCTTTTTTATGACTTAAAAAAAAATTCTTTGCATTCTTGGTCAAAGTTTTACTCATTATTGCTTTTCCCAAAAGCTTTTCTGTGTCAGTTGTTTTCTTTACCTATCATAATGGGGTGGTGATGTCATTGTATGGTCTTGGCTTTCTTTTGTACTGATTGCAACTTGTTTAAATGTATAATCTCCTTCTTGCAAACCCCTAAAGCCAATGACTGTCCAAGAGTTTCACTTTGCCTTAATGTACACCTTTGAACACATCTAGATTTCAAGATGCCTTAAGCAATTATTATTTCCCAGCCCCCACTTCCTATAAATGTGCTATATACACACACACACACACACACATATATATATATGAAATTTTGAAGTTAGAAATCCAGAACTGAATTTAATTGAGATGAGAACTTTCATTATTTAAGTTGTGAAAATCACTAAATTCACTTATATACTCATATTTGTGAAATCTTGAATGAATCTGAAATGTTCCGCTTTTCAGTGTCCCCAGATGAAATTATTCACCAGCCCTGTATCACACTCCCTACAGTTATTTCCAAGTTAAGTCTTATTGCTTCCATCCTGTCAGTTGGTCCTACACAGTGCTTCTGTCAGGTTAATCTCGAAGCCTAACTCCAGTCGTTTCAAGCTGTTAGACTGTTCCATCCTTGGATTTGCATTGTTTTCTTGTTCTTACTCCCAAACATGTTCCTGTCCTTTCCTCTCCCAAGTAGAGGTCCCACACATTAGCTAGATCAAATGATGGGCTATTTCCTAAAGGTTACCACCACGTTCATATTATTCCACCCTGCAGGGGCCTCTGTTGCTTTATTTCCATATTTTAAAGGCCCTTTTCATAGTTATTATCTTCTGAGAGAAATGTTTTAGTGCAGAAAATCAATTCAGGATTCCAGTGTTGGTGGCAGGGGCCAAATTACTTGACGCTTCAGCTACTGTCTCCCAGGAAGCTCAGGAATAGGAAGCTGGAATGGGGAGCAGAGCTGGACTCAAACCCAGGCACTCTGTTTTTGGACACAAGCTTCTCAAGTGGCACCTGACCCCTGTGCCAAATGCCTGACCTGGTTTACGATTAGTGATAAAATTCCCTTTCTTTAGTTACCAGTAGCACTCAGATTTTCCATCTCATGGGTGTTATTTTTGTACTTGTTTATCCTCCTGATAGATTGTTGTTTTCTAAAGGACAGGATACATGCGTACTTCTAGATTGAATACTGGAACACCTTATTTACTAGTATTGACCAATCATTAAATACTTCGTTAAATTATGGTATAAATGTAACTATTTGAATATCATAGAATTATTTGTATACTTATAAAATTCTTACCAGTGTTCTGTATAAACGAAGTTGTTTCCAATAATCAGGTAGCTAGTGCCATACAGAATAAATAGTTGAACTGACTGATGCATGGAAAATGTAAAGCATTTATCCATAGGTGAATGTTAGTCTCTAACACAACTGGGAGCAAACACCAGGTCTGTTATAATCCTTTTCCCTATTCATTTTAAATGGAAGACTCTCTATGCATGTAAAATGCTGCAATCATTCATTAAGTAGATTTAATCTCTCATTTTCCTTAAATCATCACTATGTTGAGAAAACATAGGCCTAAGAAAAGTGTGGCCAGGTATTCATTCTTTAATTAACCTAAAAGTGAACTATATTTCATTGCTTGTAGGATGGTATGGGAAATCTGAGAGTCACCAAGAAGGGAATCCGACTTGAAGGTATATCTGAGTTTCTACTTCCATTGTATGTGAAAGAAATTCATTCCAGAAAGGTATGTGATACTGGCTTTGGCTTACTGTAAAAGATAATTTAGAGGTTAACATTTTAGCTTAAAATAGGGGTCAGAGTTCCCTTATCTTCTCAGTATGTAGTTTACTTGAGCTAAAGACCTCTTTGAAGAATTAAAAATATTTAACAATTGAAAAACCCTGGAGGTTAGTTTCAAACTGGCAAATCAGAGGGCAATTTTGAACTACATTGCAGTGTTTTTACTTTTGTTAGTTCATAAAACGTGCCTCTCTGTTTTAACTGGCAGTTAAAAAATACACAGTTATAGATATTCCCAAAGGGGCATTTCCTAGATCTCGAGTAATTTTTGCAAAAAACATTGATTTAAATGAATTTTTGTTTAATACATTCTATAACTTCTCATCGTAATGAAAATGTCTTTTTTAAATGAGATAACAAGAAATTTTAATTTTGAAATTAAATTTATTCATGTATATACACCATTTAAAACATGAGAATATTATCTTGTGTGTGTGTGTGTGTATGTGTATGTCATTATGTGTTTCATCAATTAGTAGCATGCCAAAACTCAAGATTGAAGCTTAGTCATTGTTCATTTTGACTTAAGTGCATTAGAGTTCAGAAAGTAGTAAATAATTTGGGAAACCAAAATCTGACGAGAATTTTATTCCCCTGGGAGATACCTGTGGAATAAATTTGTGTGTGTGGAAAATACTATTAATGTAGAAATATGGAAAGTTTGTCATGAAAAAGTTAGATAATATTAATCTTGTTTAATAAATATTACATTTTGTTTTAGACTAAAATAGTGTTTTACCACTTCCAATATAATGTGTTAGCAAATGGACTTTATTTTTATACTAAATCATAAGTTGAGTAATTTGCATCAAAACAATTTTTCCATAAGTGTCAAAGTGAAAACAGAAAAAGTATTGTTTTTCATAAAACTTTTGAATAGGATAACAGTATTAGCTTTATTTTTTTATTATGTGAACTGACAGTTTCATTAATATATTCACTGCACTCTGGGTAATGGAAAGTTAATTTTGACTCCATTTTCCAGAGTTTAGTCAGATGGTTAATAGAATGACACATGTATGAACAACTACATTTACATCACTGAATTTTTAAAACTGAATAATTGAATATAAAAACTGGCATTGTTCCTTAAACTTGATTTCATGAAAATAAAAAAGACCTAGCCTGTTTATGTATATCAGTGTTTCCTTGATTCGAAGTCACCACTATTGTTATTGATTTGCCGTATTTGTTTGTTCAGCACTATGAACAATATTTGAAGAAATGAAAATTTAGACATGAAAATAAATAAATTGCTTAACATAGGAAGAAAGTGAGAGTAATCACCAGCAGAAGCTTTTTTGAAATGCACCCTACTGAAAAGTCCACGGACAGCAAAGATGATGCATCCTGACAGCCACTTAGACTAATTAGTAGCAGCTTCCTGGGGAACACAATTTAAAGGAGCGCTGGGAAGCCCTCTGGCATCAGGAGGGTTATGGAATTTACTTTTCCAGCTGAGACATGAGTGAGAGCAGAGCAACAAGTGTAAACTCAGATTCTCCTGAGACACAGAGATGTGTGTTGTGATTCCAGCTTCGTACCCAAGAAGATAAAGTCCACTGATTGTATTAGCATGAGGTGGTGGCAGCTGGCCCTCCTACACTTTATCCCTTGGAGAGATTATCTCAAGTATACAACCATTTCCAAAACCTACTGTATTGATTGAAAACTGTAAGGTACTTTGTGCATCCCCAGCCCTGAGGCTTTTCCTTCTTCTGTCTTATTATCACTGGTCAGGATCCCAGTAACGAGGAACACACAATGTCTAGGCAGGTGAGGACTTCACTGATGGGACTTGGTTAGATAACGGGAGAAGAGCACTCATCGAGTCCTTGCAAAATACTCTTTACACAAACACTACAATGCTATTTAAAATAAAGGAAAATAAAGAAAATTATTTAAGAGGCAGCATGACAGGAAAGGGGGGTTGAGAGAAAGAGTGCACGAGAGCAAGAGCGAGCACACAGAGCTTCGGTCCACTGATTCATTCCCCATATGCTGGAGCCAGGAACCAGAAACTTCGTAGAGTTTTCCCATGTGAGTGCCAGCGATACAACATCTTGGGCCATTATCTGCTGATTCCCAGGGTGTGCTTAAGCTGGATACTGGATCAGAAGTAGAGATAGTACTTGATCCCAGGCACTTTGTAGGAAATACAGGTGCCTAAGCTTAACTTGCTGAGCCACAATGCTTACCCCAAGAAAAAATACATTTTGTAAGCAATTCTTGCACTATAGTTTCTTTTATTCTTCAATACGTGCAACTATTCATTTTCTGTAAAAGCCAGGCACAATTTTTCTGAATCTTAGTCATCTCATTTCTAAAGTGATTTTGGTTCAAACGTGTCAAAATGGTTACTGCTTAGGTTAAAAAATGTATTTCAGTAATACTACTAAAAATGAGCCAGCCCCACGGCTCACTAGGCTAATCCTCCACCTTGCGGCACCGGCACACCGGGTTCTAGTCCCGGTCGGGGCGCCGGATTCTGTCCCAGTTGCCCCTCTTCCAGGCCAGCTCTCTGCTGTGGCCAGGGAGTGCAGTGGAGGATGGCCCAAGTGCTTGGGCCCTGCACCCCATGGGAGACCAGGAGAAGCACCTGGCTCCCGCCTTCAGATCAGCGTGGTGCGCCGGCCGTGGCGGCCATTGGAGGGTGAACCAACCGCAAAGGAAGACCTTTCTCTCTGTCTCTCTCTCTCACTGTCCACTCTGCCTGTCAAAAATAATAATAATAAAATAAAATAAAATAAACTACTAGAAATGAAATTTGTTAGCCAAAAATTAAATTAGTTATACATTTTAGTCTTTCCAGATATTTTCATGTATTGAAACTTTTTAATAAAATTGTGAAGTCCTGGTACTTCTCAGGTAAGAGAGACTTCCTAAATTCAAAAGGCATTTAACAGGTTCAGTTAGGCTCCATTGAGGACTTCTGTGTGCAGCTTTCACATATATGTACACTTCCCCTCAGTTAATACCAATCAGTTGCCTTCTTTTATATTTCGCCAGTATTCTCATATAGACAATTTTTTTAAAAAAATTTAAATTACTTCCTGCTTTTGTAAGTATTGAATCACGTACATGGAAAAATAATAGATTTATATTCAGCAGATAATACAGTTGTCCATAATTACACATCTGCTACCTTACTTTAGTAACTGGGCTGGTTCTACTCTTTAAGCTAGCTGACACTCTGACACCTTCACATGGCTCTCAGTGTTTGAAGTTCTATCATTTTATCTATAGCAATTTACTCTCATCTCTTTTTGAAAATCAACCTTTTCTAAATTGGCACTCAAAACAATACACAGAAAATATTATATTATGATGACCACATAACTAATAGCTGTCCAATTTTTTGTCGTGGATGCCCCATTCCTCAGTTCACTATTCAAATCCTTCCTTTTCATCTGTTAATTAATTTTTCTTAAATTTTAATTTTTGAAGTATTTCATGCTTAGGATATCTAATCATTGCCTTTATTCTTTTGGGAATCTTATTGTTAGTTTATCCTTTCTTTTTGTCTGAATGTGAGTGCATTTCTCTATTAAATCCTAACACTGAATATTGCCATAAAATTTCTGAGGACAGGCTGGTGTTTTTCTGCTGTTCATGACATGAATATTCTGCTTGGATTCCTGATATACTTCAGCATTTCACTTCTTCTGTTTCAGGGAAATTTTCTCTATTATATTGGTTAAAATCTTTCAGTTCATTTGTAGTTCTTTACTTCAGAAAAAGCAGTAATTCTGTTGTTGGGTCATTTTGTTCTCATAGCCACCACAACTTCTTTATTTAAACCATTTATGTTTTTCCTGTAAATAGAAGAAACTGTTATCAAGAGTGTTCTTCCATTTCATTAGCTTATTTTTCTCAATGTGAGCATTGCCATTTATTCTCTACTTTATGTGTCTTAGCACAATGGTGTTGTTTTGATTTTTGGAATTTTCCTGAGGTCTGTAAATTTCCTTTTTATCTTACAAGGTTGTTTCACTGTCTCTAAGCTGTTTACCAAAATTGTGTTATTTTCAAATTGTAAAGCTTAAAGAACTCCCTTCTTTTCTCTATTTCTCTTCTATTTTTTCTTCTTATCCTTATAAATAATCAGTAGCCCCCATGGCATCACTAATAATACTCCTTTCTCATATACTGCATTCTCAAAAATAAATTAATTTCTGGTCTGTCTGTTCTGATCTTCTGATTCACTTGCAAGAACCCCAACCTTACATTTAAGGAATAATATTTTTATAACAGGTAGAGCTAATTCTTGGTTATTACACTTTAAAAGATTTTGCCTTTTGTGTGTCTCTTTCAAATGAAGTTATGAATCAGCTGTCAAGTCCCATAAAAAAAAAATCCCTGCTGGTGATTTAATCATGATAACATTTAACTCGTCAAGAATGGCATCTTTATAGCACAGAGTGCTCCTACCTGGGAACATGGCTCTCTCTCCATTGTCGCAGTACTTCCTTCCTTGTTCCAGAACATTGCCTAGCTATCCCCCTTCCTTTGAAAGGCGCAGAGACTGTTTCTCACATTTTTTCCTATACCCATTACACGTTTCTTGTAAAGTACTTAGTGGCTATTACTGCTTATGCGAATAGGTTTTCCATTCATTTTTTTTTATTGAAATTTGTACTTGTACAAAAAAATTGACGTTTTGTTGTTGTAAATGCACTCTTACCATTTTCTTGAAATTTCATTGTTAGATTTCAAAACATTTTTTGGCTTAGCAGGTAGATAATTATTTTTAATAATACTAACTAACTTTGGGTATACACTAGAGGTCCATAGTCCAGCAGTTGTGTATCATAACCAGTTACCCTCTCTATATCTGCAAAAGGAAGTTTTGTGCTAGAGAACAAAAGCAGTGAAACTTTCTACAATGCCAACCCATGAAATATTAATACTTGTTATTTTATTGAATTACAAACATTATACTAA